CCACGTGTGCTTGAAATCAATGTGTACTCTAGTCAGTACGTAGAATGTACTACATATGTTGGCTAGGTCAAGTTGGTTAATAGTGTTGGTCAAGTTTTCTATATGCCTACTAATTTTCTATCTAGCTATTCTATCAATTACTAAGAGTAGGGTATTAAAATCTCCAACTATAATGGTTGAAATGTCTGTTTCTCCTTCCCACTCTGTCAGTTTTTGCTTTGTATATCCTGGGTCTCTGATATATGTTGGTGTGCCTGATAGTGTCCCACAGGCATCTGAGGCTCTGTTCATTTTCCTTCAATGGATTCTTCCCTCTGCTATTTCCAATCTGCTGTTGAAGGCCTCCAGTGAATTCTCCATTTCCAAAACCGTACTCTCCAGTCCCAGAATGTCTGTCTGGCTCAGCTCTTTTATATAATTTTTATGTTCTTTACTGAGAATCTCTATCTGTTGTCTCATTGCTGCCATTCATTATTGTCATACTTTATTTCTTTAAATACAGTTTCCTTTGGTCTTTGAACATATTTAAATTAATTGCTTTGAAGCTTTTCTCTGCTAAATCCACTATCTGGGAACACTCACAGGCAGTTTCTATAGACTTCTGTTTTCCTGAATATGAGTCAGACATCTCTATATTTTGCATGTCTTATAAACTGTTGAAAAGTGAACGTTTTAGACAATATATTGTAGCCACTCTGGATTCTGATATTTTCCCCCTTAAAGTTGGTGGTGCTGCCTTGTCTGCTTGTTCACTTTTGTTTAGTGACAGGCTGGGTTAAACACATGAAATCTATTTTCACTGCGATGTGCAACCACGACGTGTCCACTCAGTTTCTTCTTGTTCTATGTTCTTTTTCCTCCTCCTTTTTAATAAGACTGGTTTCCTAGGAACTGCCCAGTCACTGGCTCTCCTGTGGTAGCCTGCCTCTGTGAAGTCACTTCCACAGACAGTGACACTGGACACTGGTGTCACCCACCACTGCAGACAGAAACTGCCAGTCCTTGCAGCCTGCTCCATACTGGCAGAAACTCCATACAGCACAGCTTGGGGTGTTTGGGAAGCAGCACCCCGCTAAACCACAAATTTCCATTGCTCTTACCTGAGGTCTAGAAGTTTTCCAAAGCATAAATGTGTCTCAGATTATTGTCCCTTCATTGACATCCAAAACACTGAAATGGCTGCTTTGTCAATTCTGTCCAGTTTTTTAGGTGCTTTTTTGGAAGAGGATTTGCTGGTCTCTTCACTTGGTCTTTACCGGGAGTGCTACCCCTACTTCTCTATTATTTTTAATGCTACCTTATAAATATTTCACAAAGTTTTTCTCTAATGATTATTTTGAAATATTTCAAATAAGCAAAAATTACAAAGAATATAATAAACATCTGTCTACCCACACACTCAGCTTAATAATAAAACATTATAGATACATTTACTTCTCTCTGATCCTATTTCCTTTCTTCCCTCTCCAGAGACAACCATTATCCTAAATTTTGTATTTATTAATCTTATGTATGTTTTTCTTAGTTTATACCTATATACATGCTCTTAAATTACTTACTTAAAATGTTCTGCATTTTAATTTTATTCAAATGATATCTCACTCTAAATATTCTTCTATAACTTACTGTGTTTGGGAGACTTACGTAATACATGTAGCTTTAATTCATTGACAGTTAACTGCTGCATAAAAATGCCACAATTAACCCAGGCTCCTATGACAGACACAGGTGTTTTCAATAACCTGCTGTTACAATGCTGTAATACTCTCATACACGTTGTCCGTGCACAAGTGCAAGAGTAACAGGGTGTAAAGAAGGATAGAGAGGCTATCGGTGCTTGTGTAAATATATGACATCTACCCATTGGCTCCCACGTGGTTGGAGGTGAAATGTGAGAGACGGGGAAACGGCGGTTGTGTCCACCACAGGGATCCATGGCCTTCCACAGAGTCTAGATTGAGAGTCACAAGGGGCCTTATAGAAGGCCTCTATACTCCAATCCCCACCCAGGAGGCAACATGGCCTGTGTCACAGAGCATTTCAGTGGAAAATTTGGGACTAAAACCTAGGTTTCCTTTCTTTACCGCCTTCTTTCTCAAAGCAAGATCTGTAGACCAGCAACATTAGTGTCACCTAGAAACTTGTTAATAATACAGGCTGTTGGGCCATATTCCAGACTTACTGAATCAGAATTTGCATTTTAACAAGATTCCGAGATGCACATTAAAGTTTTAAAGCTTGAAAAGTAGAGTGTGTCTCTAGGGGTGGAATTACCGATCACAGTGTGCAGATTCTTTTAACTACACCGGACAATGCCAAATTTCTCTCCAAAGTGTCGTACCAATTTACCCAGTTTAGTTTCCCACATTACTTTTTCTAACTGTCTATGCACCTAATCACAACCTAAGGCCGTTTCCTATTGCTCTTATGTACACCTCCACTGTTTGCCTTACAAAGCTTCCATTTCCTAAGAATATATCCTCAAACTATACCCCTGCATTTCTTTAATTGGTGCTGTTAAACACTCGTCTGTGATAAAAAGAGTTACATGGTCAAATAGGTTTGGGAAACACTAGATTAATCAAAATAAAACAGGTTTTTTGTTTAGTTTTGTGTTTGTTTTTGAGACAGGTTCTAACTCTGTCGCCAGGATGCAGTGCAGTAGTGTGATCACGGCTCACTGCAGTCTCAACTTCCCCAGGTTCAGGAAATCCTCTCACCTAAGCCTCCCAAGTAGCTGGGACTACAGGCATGCACCATTACACCCGGCTAATTTTTGTATTTTTTGTAGAGATGGGGTCTCCCTATGTTGCCCAGGCTGGTCTTGAACTCCTGGGCTCAAGCAACCCTCCTACCTTGTCTTCCCCAGGCTCAGGGAGAGCAGTGATCGTACCACTGCACTGCATCCTGGGCAACAGAGTTAGACCTTGTCTCAAAAAAAAAAAAAAAAAAAAAAGCCTGTTTTATGTTTTACTTTGATTAACCTAGTATTTCCCAAAGTTCTTGGATTACAGGTGTGAGCCACCACGACCAGCCAAAACAGGTTCTTTAAGACTTCTCAGAGACCCAGAAATGTTAATAAGCACTAGGAGCCCCTAGATGTGGACTATGTTTCAAGGATTTTCTGAAACTTTGTGTCCCCATGAGTCCTCTAGGAACATATCTAAACAAACTAACATTTCAAGGAACACGGATGGGAAATGCTGCATTGATACCGGCTTCCCGTCCTTTTTAAATACAAGTAATTTAAATTTTTTTTAAGATTTCAATTCCCTCTTATAATTCCCAGATCTTCTCATACTTTTATTAAAAGATTCTCATTTTAGCTACTTCTCTGTGGTTCTGTGTAAGTAAAACAACATTAATAAGAAAGAAAAATTCATTTTGCTCAGCTGAATTTCTCCCTATTCATTTTTCTTTGTGTTTTAAGTAAAGAAGAAATCAGCATGGAATGAAGATAAGTTACATTAGGCCCAAATTTTTAAACAGTTTTTCTTCCCTCTGAGACAACTGAGGAAACCAAACCGGCACCTGCTCTGAAACCCGGCAGAAAAACTACCCTCCTGAGCCCCGTGTTTCCACACAGATGTCCAGCTAAATTAAACTGCTCCTTAATTTTCTTCTGGTTTCCCTGAATAAATTAAAAGTTACACGACCCCAGTGATCTCTCGATAGTGAAAAATCACACATTTTACTTCACTCTTTGTGTTTTTCTTTAGTTTCAGTTTTTGTACAATAAGCATGTGTCACTTTTGCGATTGGAAAAAATACACCTTACTTATCTTCTTTTCTTTCTTTTTTTTTTTTGAGATGGAGTCTTGCTCTGTCACCCAGGCTGGAGTGACGCGGCGTGATCTCGGCTCACTGCAACCTCCACCTCCCAGACTCAAGCAATTCTCCTGTCTCAGCCTCAGCAGCTGGGATTACAGGTGCCCTCCACCATGCCCAGCTAATTTTTAAATTTTTAGTAAAGACAGGGGTTTCAGCACGTTGACCAGGGTGGTCTCAAACTCCTGACCTCAAGTGATCCGCCCACCTTAGCCTCCCAAAGTAATCTTACTTCTAAAAGGCTTAGTTTGAAAGGAAGACAAGTCAGAGGGCACTAAAGTTTAAATCCACCTGCACCATTCTATCAAGATGTGCAGGGAAGTACCAATGACTCTCAGTTAAGGTGGGCAAGTCTTTGCAAGAAACTTGCTAAAAGTCATTATGTAAAAACTACATGATGAAAAGTTAGTTCTTTAAATAAGTCAAACTCTAAAATTCTCATGAATGCAAAACTAAATTTTATCTAGATTTCAACGTAAGGAGACAGAGTGGTGAAACTAACGGAACATCAACAAAACTGGGGTGTGAGCCCTCTTCTGTTGGCCCTTACCTCTTTCAGTCCCCTTCCTAGTCTGTAAGATGAGAGAGAACCTACATCACGCATGGTTATTGTAAGAACTGTCTAAAAAACGTATTTAAAAAACTCACCACACAGCGCCTGGCATTTATATAGTAAGTGCTCAATAAACTGCAACTATTGTTATTAAACAATTAGAAATACCCTGACTGCTTCCAGAAGAAATAAAGAAGCATTGTTACTACTGAAATTATATGAATTACTAAGTCAGTTTCAACATTCATCCTGATGAAAACAGAATCCTTCCCAGACAGGTAATCCTTGAGAATCCATGACATAACCTGGGTGAATGATTCCAAATCAAATACATTATTTGTTGAAGTTAGTAAGCAAAATGTAGAAACGCAAAACAACTAAGGATTTAATCACAGCCAGTGATTTAATAAGTCCAAGTTGTACAGACTGCTGTCATCATTACTTATGAAGAAGAAGAAATTCAACTATGGGGGAAAAACATGTATCCCAACGAACAAATGGCAATACTAATAGGATGATGTTGGAAATTACACGGCTTCAGCAGAGGCAGAACGCTTACCTATAAAGCAATGATTTCTAAGAAGAAAAACAAAACCAACAGCCCCCATGCTTTGTTTACCTGGGTGAGTCATGGTAACCGGCTCCTCTTTGGATTTATTATTGTAGATGACTACAGCAACTGCATTGTGGAAAGCAGCCCGTGATATTTTCTCTTTAAATGTGCAGTTTCCCCTCTGCAGCAAGGCAATCCACTGTTTGATATTAGGAGGGACAAAGAACCGGGTTTGTGGATCACAGCCCAGATGATCAGCAACTGAAAAGAAAAAGAAATATACACATGAAAGATAAATAAAACTGACCAAGTCTTTATCAAAGCATCAGCTGCTTTCTGAATACCACACAGAGCTAAAGCACGTCAAGCAGCTTGCAGCCAGCGGAGCTATAAACACATCCACAAACAATGCAATGAATCAGTATCTACAGGGAGAGATGCTCCAATGAACTGCAATATAATGCACATTAAAACAATGAAAATTTCTTAACTTTACAGACTGTTAAAAAATAAAAAGACTGATAATATCCAGTACAGGGTGGTAAAGGGAGGAGGAAGAAAAGGCCAACACAGATGAGAAACCCAGGTGACTGATGTAACCCCGACTTTTACTCACTCGTGTTCAGGTGCTAGCCCTCTCCACACACACCCCACCACGCCACACACCCCCCACCACCACTACCCCCACTGTGAGAAAGCAGGAGACTGGACTGGGGGCTGAGGAGGAAGCCAACGTAATCCTTGGGTCAGTTACTAAGCGATCCTGTTGAAATTCAACCATGTTTGAACAAAGTTCTTCATCAATGTCTAAGGAAAATTTACAAGTTTGGTTTTGGCTTATATTTGAAAGGTAAAGTAGTTAAAATAACATCTAAGTAGAATAAATGTATTATTCCTCTAATTTATATTAGCAAAAGTCACCCCACAACTCCCTATCAAGATACACTTACTGTATCCATCTGTTTAACAGGTTACAAGAAGACACTAAGAATGCTGGTTCTACAAATTACATGGCCACTGTTCTGGATTTTTTGGGATAGTTTATTTAAAATACTCATAAGTACATTTAAATCTGTCAGAGTAAGCTCCTCAATTTTTTACTCTGCACATATGGCCATCATGGTTCTGACATCCTCTGCAAATCTTAAGAAGCCCCCGGCTGCTCTTCCCACTCCCACTTCCACATTTATAACAGGTTCAAACGAGACAGAAGGGTAGTCCAGGAGGGAAGAGAAGTCACCAAAGGTAGTGTCTGAAGACTGCTGGCACACAGTGGCGGAGGGTGCCAGCCCTGTGCCCTGAGTCAGCCCTGTCGGTCCTCTGTGTGCCAGGAAGGAAGCGAGGAAAGTGAACACAGCACATAGATCTAAAAGGGTGATATCAGAAGTAAATAAATCATAAAAACATGGCAAGATGTGGTGGCTCAGGCGTGTTAATCCCAGCACTTTGGGAGTCTGAGGCAGGTAGACTGCTTGAGCCCAGGAGTTTGAGACCAGCCTGGGCAACAAAGTGAAACAAAAAATACAAAAAATTAGCTAGGTGTGGTAGGACGCATCTGAATTCGCAGCTACTGGGGAAGCTGAGTGGGAAAGATTGCTTGAGCCATGATCGCACCACTGAACTCCAGCCTGGGTGACAGAATAAGACCCTGTCTCAAAAAAAATCATAGAAACATTAAGTATTAATTGTAGTAGATAAAGAGATGACACCAGAGGGAAAATGTTGGCTTTCCACACACCTGGAAGCACAAGCTTAGTAAAAGAAACTAAACGCTTACACTACTTAAATTGTAAAATGTAAAGATGTCACTAACTGCAGAGAACTATTACATCTATCATTCCCACTTAAATATCTTTCTCCAGATTTTCTTATAATTAATTGTGGTGAGAGACTGCAACAAGAGCATATTTGCTACCAGAGGTCTCGCATTACATGAAATGGAAGACGAATGTTTTCACAATTTTTCATGATTGATATTGTATACAACCATTACCTACCCTGTTCCTTAAAAGGTTTCTGCACTCTGAAACTTTAACCCTTCCTCAACCAAATTAAATAGGGGGATAGAAGCCTATGTCACAATTTTAGGAGCAATTGAAAGACACAGTCGATGTACTGTAAAACTTTAAAATCCTGAAACAGATTGTTTACTTTCAGCACTATCTGTTTCATCGATAATTATGCTGTTTAAAATAAAAGCAGCTCGGCAACCTGTTATGATAATCTCCTGTCTTAGAAAAATGTCTAATACTGTATCCAAACAGGGAATAACCAAGGAACTGGTTTTAGGTGTTTTGTTATTTTTCAAAACACACTGCTGCACAAACCCTGGAAGAAAACGCAAAATCGAGAATATCTAAAGTGATGTGTTCCCTTGCCTTCTGTGTAACAATCATTTGTCTGTGACTAATCTCTTCTTCCCTGTGGTCTCGCATACATGTACAACGTAGTAAAGAGGAAACAACATAGTTATGGAATCAGCAAGACCTGTGCTCCAGGTTCTAGATCAACTGCTTACTAGCTGTGTAACCATCACAGGTTACTGAAATTGTCCCATCTTTAATTTTTACTTACTTATAAAGATTGAGATATTATCTCACAGAGTTTTACATGTGAAAAAGCCAACAGTAATTCTTTCTGGCTAGGCATGGTGGCTCACGCCTGTAATCCCAACACTTTGGGAGGCCAAGGTGGGAAGACCACTTGAGGCCAGGAGTTCAAAACTAGCCTGGGCACATAGTAAGACCTTCATCTCTATACAAAATAAAAAATAAAAAAAATTAGCCAGGCATGGTAGTTCCAGCTACTCAGGAGGCTGAGATGGGAGGATCGCTTGAGCCCAGGAGTTCAAGATTACAGTGAACTATGATCATGCCGCTGCACTCCAGCCTGGGTGACAGAATAAGACTCTATCTCTAAAAACAGTAATAATTCCTTCATTCTTAATGCTTTAAAAAAACCTCTTTCCTTTTGTTTGTTTCACTGACATTCATCCTATGTTGTCTTGGTGATCCAGTTTGGTGCCCTTGGGAGTTTCTGTGCCGAAATATGTGGGCTTCCCCAAGCTCAGCAGCACCCCACACTCCTCCGCTCTTAGTAACCACCACTCACAGATCCCAAGGCTCATCTTCTTTACCTCTTTCCTTTTGATAGTGTCGCAGTCCACTCAGATGACAGCAGTTCAGTAATATTCATAATGTTCTAAGCATGAAAAGACATAGCAAGCGGTGCAACCACAGAGCAAAAGTTATCAAACATACTGCAGGGGGCTTTAAAACTCTCCTGAAGGAATCCTGCCCACTGAGACCACATTCTATGAACAACTGCATGATCAAAAAATCCAACAATGGCCTGTATAAGCAAAATAAACTTCCTGTTTCCCAAAATTCATCTAATCATCATCCATAAAAGGTCTCTGAAAACATTTATATTGGTAGTACAATACAAAATAAGCAAGAATAAGATAGGAGGTTTCTGTTCAAAAAAGTGGTATTTATTATTCAGAAGAAAGTAAGAGGTTTTCATAAACAGGAACTTAATACTTTAGTATACTCATTCTACCCAGTTATTCCCTCCTGTAATTAAGAAACTATAAATAATGAAAACAACAGCTCTATAACAACTTCCCAAGAAGACTGATGACTACGATTAAGCAGTATTATTCCAAAATTTAATACCAGTTGTTTACACTTGAGAAATTTATTAAGTGAAGACATATTATGGTATAAAGTATCTATATAACTATGAGCCTTTAAAATTTGTCAATAGCAATTCTGTTCCAATTCAGAATTACTGTACTTCCATTTTTCTCACCTGCCAAATTTTATAAGAGGATGCTATCTCTGAATTATTTGCATTTATTAATTATATAGCCAGAAAAAACTTATTAGAGGTTTTGATAAAAATTTCAAGATAGGTAATACAAAATATTTTACTATAGAACTTAAATTTTTTTTTCCTCTAGGGCTTTTCCTGCTGAGTCCAAAAATATTAAAAATAATGAGACTTATTTACCTTTTGACAGGAACCAAACAATTACGGGCTCCTCACCTAAATGAATAGTAATTTATGTGCTAAGCAACATGCTAAGTACTAAAGAGAGAGAAAATGGGGCAAATGCCTTGCTCTTGACTCTTAAAGCACCTCCACATGGCCAGGCGCAGTGGCTCACGCCTGTAATCCCAGTACTTTGGGAGGCCAAGGTGGGCGGATCATGGGGTCAGAAGTTCAAGACCAGCCTGGCCAACACAGTGAAACCCCATCTCTACCAAAAATACAAAAATTAGCCAGGCATGGTGGCGTGTGCCTGTAATCCCAGCTACTTGGGATGTTGAGGCAGGAGAATCGCTTGAACCCAGGAGGCAGAGGTTGCAATGAGCCAAGATTGTGCCACTGCACTCCAGCCTGGGTGATAGCGCTAGACTCTGTTTCAAAAAAAAGAAAGAAAAAAAAGAGCGTCCACATTTACTGAGGCATCATAATTGGCACCGGCACAGAAGCTGACATTAGAGGGTGCCAACACGGAGTGCGTTTAGAGACTGAAGGAGGGAGGAGGGCAGGACGATGGTCAAGATTCAGTGTGAGCTGGAGCCCACATGGAACCCCTGAAACTTGCCCAGGCAGGAAGGAGGCAGGTACAGAAGCTGTCAGCATAAAAACACAGAACAAAGACTAAACTCTTCTCTTGAACTCTTGTAAAACTAAGTAAGATGATATGTAACAGAACCTAGAACACTATACAAACTCAAGAAGATCAAGTTCGGAAAATATCTCATTTGTAATGAGAGAAGGGGAAGAATATTCAGGTAGGAATAATATGTAAATATTTAAAGGGCTGTAGGAACGAAACATCTCTTCCACACCCCACCAGTCTGAAACTCTCCTCCACTTTGATTCAGTAAAATCTCATTTCTTAGAAACGTAAACATGCCACGTAAGAAGCACTCACCATGCTACGGTGTAGGCTAATGGTTTCCTTCCTACCCCTGAGAATTGTCAGTCTGCTGCAGGGGCAGAAGTGAGAGCCTAGGACAGTATTTTTCTGCAGTGATGGTCAGAACAGGTGGCCGCACAGCACAGTGGCAGAGATGTGCCTCTCCCTCTCAGAGCCTGTGTGTGTCACTTCATCCCCCTGAAACGCCAGTCCCAACTCTCCTGCTCACCACCTTCCGAGCCTCAGGATTCTGTCAAAATGTCTTCTCCAGAATGCCTTCCCAGCCTCCTAAGACGGAGCTGGGTGCTTTTTTCAAGTTGCCATGGCA